ATGCTTAGTCTTTACCTCTAAATAGAAGTTCAGAGAAGGAAGGCCACAGCTGTTTTGTGGGGTTCAGGCTGTGATATCATTTAAATCACTTAAAATATTTTGTATCCATCAATAATTGTAACTGATGTTGGATATTATTGAGAAAAAGTAGGTCACTTGTGTTAGAAAGATAAAGCAATGGATTTGGTATAACATTTAATTTTCATTTCTTTATACTAACTTGATGAATAATTCATTTTAATTAAAAAGTTAGTGTACCAAAAATATTTACAAACTAGACACATGTACTTGAGGAATTTTTGCTATTTTCTTAATTTCTAAATAGAAGCATACTTACCCACATATTTATGAGGCACACTATAATAATTTTACATATGCATAGAATGTGAAATGCTAATCAGTGTACTTAGCATTTTCATCTTCTCACTTATATGTTCCATGTGCTGGGAACCTTAGGACTATCGTAAATTTGTGTTAGACTTCAGTTACTAAAATCATTTTATGAGATAGACACTGTCTTCCAAGTTTATTGCTGCACTGTTCACAATAGCTAAGATATGAAATTCATCAAGACCATCAACAGGTAACTGGTTAAGGAGAGAATTTTTTATTAAATTGCTTTACTATTCAAAGGGGCTTCAGAGTACTTTAAGAAGAATATTTGCTGGGTAATTCAAATTTTACCTTGGTAGGGTTCCTACTATTGTCTCCCCATAGTTAATCACCGAGTAATATGTATAAACATGTGTGTGTGTTAAGAATTCTTGTGTTTGAGATGAATTAAATTTCCATAATGTTTTGTAATACAGGTCTACAAAGCAGCACGTTGAAATCAATGAATAGACATCAAAGTAAACATATAGTAATTTCCATGTTGCTAAATATTATTCTTTTAATATTTTTAAGCATTAAAATATATAAAATTCAGGTTGCTTTTTATACAAAAATAGGGGCAGGTCGGATTTGCCTGAGGGATCTTGATTTGTGGATCCTTATTCACCTGGGCTTGTCCAACCTATTGTCATCTACAAAGTTCATGCTTGAGAACTGTGCAATCCAATTAAAAATCACAAAACAATCTCATAACGTCTAATGTAACTTTTTGATTTTGTGCTGGGGCTCTCTCCAACTTCATGTGGTCTGTGGGCCATGAGTTGGACAAGCCTATGAGGAGCCAGAAATCTGTGACAGTGGTGGATGTCCCTGGGCTCTTGAACTTCCTAAGATCCAGTCAACAAATTTTGTGACTATATATGAGGTTTTTCTGTATACACTTCCTGCAGCTCTTAGCTGACTCTCAGAAAGTCCCAGAAGAAAAAGCTTAGGAGACATTTTGTCAGAAGTCATTCCCCAAAATGTTAGGAGGCATTTCTTGAGTTCATGGTAGTTTCTAGGCTTTGTTGCTAGTGCCCAAGAAGTCTTAGAAAATTGTATGATAGGAAAAAACTGCTAGACTCTGAGGACAAATCAGTCCTGAAACAAACCAGTGATCTTGTCTCTTAAAGCCTGCTACCTGCACCATTCTTAACACTTTGCCTGACTTTAGAAGTATGAAAAGTAGAAAAAGACAAGATTTCCTGAGTAAATTGGGAGCATGGGGACCTTAGGAGAGGGTTGAAAGGGAAGGGAGAAGCAGGGAAGGGAGCAGAGAAAAATGTAGAGCTCAATAAAAATCAATTAAAAAAAAAGAAAAGAAAATTTACATCTCTGGCTGTGAGAGAAAACATCTCATATTTTCAAATATTTAATAAATGATTTTAGTTCAACTTTAAATATCAGAAGCAATTGAAATGTGTAAATTACTACAGGCTCTACAGAGAAATCAGATTCCATTTAGTAAGAACCTTTTTCTTAGTGCTGGGGGATGTGGTTGAATGGTAATGTGTGCTTAGCATGTATAAGGCCATGAGTTCTAGCCCCAGCATACATACTCACAATCCACCCCTATCCTTTTTCTTTAAAAATAAACAATAACTCAAAGATGGGTTCATGTTAGTTTAATTGCCATGAGGAGCTATGATATACATAGAAGCAGGATTAAGTTCCTTAGCTTATTGCAACTGAATGCACACGATGTTGCATTCAAGTTATAGGCTGCTTGACTTAACCAGTGGCTGTTAGTCAAAAGTAAGCCATTGAATGCTCAGGTTCATAAAATGGAGTAGTTAGCCTGGGGCAAAGGTAGTAGTGAGAAAATAGAAATAACCAGCTCAGAAGTTCCTGCCTCTGCTCCAGGGCTGCAGTCGGAAGATCTTCCCTCTCAATAAAGTGTTAGAGAATGAAATTTATACTCAAAGAGGAAATGGTCATAAAAGCTACAACACCAATTTTAAAATTTAATTACAACCCAGTATAGTTTGTGGTTAAATCTTTAAAAATAACTAAACATGTCCAGGAATCGTTTTACTTTTTCATATAGACTTATTATTGACAGATTTTTATACTGTTAAAAGAAATAGCTTACCCTAAGTAGATTAAAATAACCTTAAAGAGAAAGAAGGTAAACATAAAATTTTTCTTGAACAAAAAAAATATAGAGCGGTTAGAGCCATAAAAAGAAAGCCTTGCTTAGGTAAACATTAGGGTTGGCTTTAATAGAATATGATTTAAATTACTTATTTGTTAGTTTTTTAATTTTTTTTACTCTGAAAGTTTATCTACCCCTTAGCCTTTGTTTCTGTTCAATACATCATAGTTGTAATTTTTCAGTTTTAAAAAAGTGAAATTAAAATGTATCTGGAATTGAGAGAGTGACTTCAATGAGAAAGTTCTATAAAAATCTGAGAGAAAACAAATAAAACTGCTCTGTGTTTCAAATGTAGGGTTTTTTCTTTCAAAGATTTTTGCTGATTTGGACAAGAGTATGAACTATTAGAACTTGTCAGGTCTAATTCCCGAAGATGGTGAGAACTTTGACAGGTTTCTGAGAATTGTTCCATCATAAGACTTAGTTGGGCTTGGTCAGCCCAAGGTTATCTGTCCTCAAACCTCTGAGTCCCTCCCTATCATCTTTCTTGGCATCTAGTGTGGTCCCTTCATCTTAAAATGCTTCCCCCCTTACCCTAATGAGCCCAGTTCCTTTGAGCTGGATTCTTTCTGGTCTTCCTAAGAGAACCCACAGCTTATGTAAATGGTGCATTTACATAAGGTGGAATGCTAAAGTGGGAGCACTTCCTTAGCAGCCAGCTTGGCCTTCAGAGTTTCTTCAGGTGGCTGTGCCAGTGAACATTCCAAGTAAGCATGGAAGGTGAGGTGGAGGTTATATATATATATGACCCCACAAGACTTAGATTCCTATTCTCCCTGTATTTAGAAGAAGCCCTTCGACTGCAACTTAGCAGCTGTGGGTGCAGCTTGATTTCTCCAATGAAAGAAAGAAAATGAATGCAAGAAAAAACACATGCACTTAGTAAAATACAGTGAGATAACATGCAAGAAAAAACAAATGCACTTAGTAAAATACAGTGAGATAACATGCAAGAAAAAACAAATGCACTTAGTAAAATACAGTGAGATAACATGCAAGAAAAAACAAATGCACTTAGTAAAATACAGTGAGATAACATGCAAGAAAAAACAAATGCACTTAGTAAAATACAGTGAGATAACATGCAAGAAAAAACAAATGCACTTAGTAAAATACAGTGAGATAACATGCAAGAAAAAACAAATGCACTTAGTAAAATACAGTGAGATAACACTAGTTATTACTTTATTAAATTGCTACTGGAAATATATAAGTAATATTTATTATTCGTTCATTAAACTTAAAATTTATCTTTAAAGTGTACCTTCAATTATATCTATAAGTCATTAAGTATTCGTACTTTAGGGAGGACAAGAGAACTATCAATGAAATGATAACCACATCGAAAAGAAAAGATGCACAAACTGGAAAAGAGCACAGTAAGAGGATAAAATGTGCCATTCCTGATACTAAAGGCAGTACACATACCAATCTCTTTGAATGCAGGAACTGTAAAGAGAGACAATATGGTACTAGCCCTTTGCATTTCTAAGGCCTTTTTTATTTAACTAGTTATACTCTAAATTATGGAACTCCTGTTATCTGATCTCTTCTTCCCTAATAGGGATCCTCATAGCATTTCTAGGGCCACCTTTTGAACTATGAGTATCCTCTACCCCCTAGATAAAGACAAGGCTGGGTAAGAGAGCTTAGTTTATGAAACAGGACCTGTAGTAAAATAGTAAAAATACAATAAAGTAAAAGTAAAATGACAATACTATCCTCATTTTAGGTAGATGGTAAATTGGTAAAGCATTCACATTTTTTAAATTACTGTTTCCTTCTTCAAGTCTTCTATAAATATCAGTTGGCCAAGAAAAGAGAGAAGGCCACTGTTAGGTGATTGGACATGGGACAGGCAGCATTACAGCTGGGAAGAGAAAGGAGAAAGTGAAAGGAAAAGGACCCCCAGGAGTACACAGAGTCCACTTTTAAAGGCATGGCTATGTGAGGAAGCAAGAGAAATCTTGTTTATATGTACTGTCATTCATTGGTAAAATTACGGCTTTTTCAAAAATTGGCTTACCAGTAAAGTTCATGCCTATAGATAGTTGTCGTTTTAAAAGCTATTCCTATATGGCAATTAGTAAAAGACAAAAAAAAAAAATCAAGAAACAGTGGTGATTATATAACAGTAGTATATACATATGTATGTCAATTAATGAAAAAAGGCCATAAATTTTAAAGAGAGCAAGGAAAGGGTATATGGGAGGATTTGGAAGGAGGACAGGGAAAGGTGAAGTGATAAAACGATATAATATAAATATACAAAAATTAATATATAATTTATAATTTTAAATATAAAGTAAAAAGACATAATTATATAATAAATATAATAAAATGATTTGATTATTGAATCTCAAAAAGAAAAGAAAAGCTAATAGTATCTTAAGAAATGCTTTCTTTGAGAATGCCCGGTGTAATAAATAGTAAGAAGGATATGTTTACCTCTTTTTCTCTCTTTTGAACACAGGCATCTTTTCCTATGAATCCATCGCTTGCAGCTAATCCTGCCATGGCTTTCAATCCTTACATGCATCATCCTGGGATGGGCCTGGTTCCTGCTGATTTTTTACCAAATACTCCAGTTCTGTTTCCTGGAAATCCACCTCTTGCATTGCCAGGAGTTCCTGCCCCAAAACCAGCTCGTACAGATAGACTGGAGGTATTTGTGGATACATATATAAATGCTTGTAGAATGGATATTAACATTATGCATAATGTACATTTTCAGAGCCTAATTTGTTGAATGTTTTAAATAAGTATATCCGAGTACCTTTTAGCATATAAGGAGTCTGAGAAAGAATGTTAACCTTTTTTAACTTCAGTTAGACCTTGTTCTGAAGTGAATGTATTTTGTTGTGCAGTAGGTCAAACACTGTTTCAAGTATACCCAAACATGAGCCACTCTATAGGAAGTCTGAGTGAGAATTTTCTTTATACCCATGTGGAACTTTATAGAATGGATTAACTGGATTTGCTCATGAGTCTCTACTTTCTAGAATGATAAACTGAAAAAAAATGAACCTAACATTTTACAGTTATAGAATGTGAAGCTGTATGGATGTGGGTTATGAATAGCATCTAAACACTCTCTCCTGTGAAGAACTATGTATTTCATAGTAAATATGAAACCTAAAGAATTTAAAAGAAATTTCAAACATCCTTTGATTTATTGGCTCCCTTTAATTTTCCTTTAATTGCTATTCTTTGTTCGCTAGGAAAAATAACTGGTTTATTTCTTAGAAAGTCAGCTCCATTGGCAACCAATTGAATCCCTAATCATGTATTAGAATGGAATCTAAATATACACGTGACTCAATGTGGTTTACAAATTGGCTATGTAACATTGCTGTGTGCTGAAGAATCACCCTAGGCCTTAAAGAAATAATTACATTTGAGGGTATATGTTTACTTCAGGATTAAAACACATTTTCTTGTAGCTTTTTTTTTTTTTTTTTTTTGGTTTTCTGAGGCAGGGTTTCTCTGTAGCTTTGGAGCCTGTCCTGGAACTAGCTCTTGTAGACCAGGCTGGCCTTGAACTCAGAGATCCACCTGTCTCTGCCTCCCGAGTGCTGGGATTAAAGGTGCAAACACATTTTCAGTAATACTTTAGGTCCTACTATGTCAGTGTAAGGCAAATAGACATTTTGTGGAAAATGTGATTTCCACACCCCTCATGGAATATAAAAATTTATTTTTTTTGTCTTAGGGCGAATATTGCTTTCTATTACCTTTCATCTTTTCTAGCTATTTCCTACATAAATGACAAAATGTGTATGTGACCTTCATATCTTCATGGAAAGTAAATAAAGCCAGTCACCTTCCACTCATCACTGGGAATGTATGTGTGTGTTTGTTTTCCTGTTTAAGGTTTGCCGTGAATTTCAGCGTGGAAATTGTACCCGTGGGGAGAGTGAGTGTCGCTACGCTCACCCTACTGATGTTTCTATGATTGAAGTGTCTGACAATACTGTGACAATCTGCATGGATTACATTAAAGGCCGATGCTCCCGGGAGAAATGCAAGTACTTTCATCCTCCTCCCCACTTGCAAGCCAAGCTCAAGGCAGCTCATCACCAGATGAACCATTCAGCGGCTGCTGCAATGGTAAGAGCAAGAAGTTAGGACTGTGGGCTTCATATAAGCCCACTTTGTCTATTATTTTGCATGCACAAAAGACTGACTACTCAAGTGTATCTAAATATGAATAGCCAAAGTTACATGCTAGACAATAAGAACCTATATATTCTACTTCATTTGCTAAGACTTTCTAAAGATAATTATTTAAAAGCTTTATTCATGATTATTTTTAACTCACTATTCTTTTTTTCTTAATTTTAGAGAAAGGTAAATTATATGATTTAAACAGTAAATCATATTGAGTGCCTGTTATAGTCTGACTAGCCTGAATATTCAAAGGTGGCAGAGTTGCTTCTGTTTTCTATGAGCCACTTTCATGGATGCTTTATTGCTCACATTCTTAATGCCCTTTGAAAACACAGTGCAAAAAGATAGGGTATTAAACAGTTCGAATTTCCCAAAGGTCAAGATTACCTTTCTGTTCTGGCTGTATGGTGCAGACAGAAGGGAAGATCAAGGCAGAAGGCAGCCATATCTTCAGGGAGATTTGGACATGACTGAGGGAAAAGACCTCTCCTTTGAATTGCTCTAGCAGGCAGTTATGGGCAAGAGTTAGTTCTGATTGATAACGCTAACTGAAGTAAGTAGAGAAACTAATTGTAACACTGTAGTGTTAGAAGTCAAAGTTAAAATTACTCAAATGTTTCACAACTATGAGTTATTTTGATATGTTGCTTGCCACATTTTTTGCTTGTTTGATTTTTGCTACCAAGATCTCCACCCATATTCCCAGTGGGGGACAAAATTAAATAAGCTTCATTTTGCCTGTGCAACCCCTAAGTCTATAATCACCAAATTATATGTGCATGCAAATGAGGAACCTCCTGTCCTGCTCTGGTAAAATCTTCAATGAATGCATTTCACCTCGATGGTTTAGAAAAAAGGCATTTGGAATGAAAACTGGCATTTTACAAATGAGTATCTGTCATTGAACTTTGCAATCTGTTCTCAGAGAAAGCTGGAAATTATGCATCTCTAAAGCTACTTGGTTTATTTTCATCTGACTTATTTTGACAGTCAAAATAATGTATTCATCAGAGGAAGGGTTCTCAAAAGAAAATATAGATCCTTTTAGGCTTTTAGTATCCATGGGCATCAGGAGGTCATAGCATGACTCGTTTTGGTACTTGGAAGGCTAGTTTCTCCGTAGAAGTGTTCCTGTCTCCTGAGGCATTTGAAGCACACCTCAGTGTTGCTGGCACTTACTGAAATAGCACATATTTTGCTGAAGGAAAAATGCAAAGTAATGTTAAACTTTTCCAGTGACTCTGATCTAGGATCTGCCTTGGACAGTAAAAAAAAACAGTGAGATTCTGAGAGAACTTTAGACATAGAAGAAGGGCTTAAAAGTTTTGATAGATTTTAGAATTAAAACTATTTAATGAATCAAACATTTTATACTAAACTGTGCAGAGAGCCTCTGTTTAAAAAAAACTGCAAATGCTTTACATTTCACTTAAATTTCTAACACAAGAGTGAGATAGGTGATAGAGAGGAATGATTCACCTGCCTTTTCTTACAGGTGAGTTTTTACATTTACACTTAGAAGATTTGAACCTGAGGTCTTTGTCTAAATTCGATTTTGTTTTTCAGGACTATAGTATTATAATGCCAATGTCTGCATGCCATTTATCCCCTCCGTCCATGCTGGGACTTTAATAGACAGGAATCTTTGTTCTCTTCTACCTGTCACTTCTGCTCTTCTCATTTCTATTGTTTACTTGTTTGCTATTGTTACTTACATCTAAGAAGTAAGTTGTGTATGACAATTTGCTGTTCGAGTTTTCTATCACATCCTGTCCCAAGTCTTATCGATTAGGGACATGAAACGGCCTGCTCCTTTTATATTTCTGTTTCATACTAACTATTTGCACTGAAACAGTTAGTCTTTGTAGCTGTTTCCCTGCTGAGTACCCACTACTTATGTAAAGTGTTACTCCGTGGATACCCTGTGTTGGTTCCCCAGGTTGTATCTTAGATAATTGGCACTTGCTTGGTTTGAGGACAATTTTACTTCTCTGATAATAATGACTGTTTCATCCCTTTGCTATAGGCCCTGCCGCCTGGTGCACTTCAACTGATACCAAAGAGGTCAGCCCTTGATAAGGCCAATGGTGCCACCCCGGTCTTTAATCCCAATGTTTTCCACTACCAACAGGCTCTGGCTAACATGCAGATTCCGCAGCCGGCATTTATCCCTACAGGTGAGAGCACAGTTCTGGGAATCTAGAGTTTAGCAGTTTGAATATGTATACTGCAAAGCAGCTTCTAAAGGGCTTTCGTTGGAGGATAGTCATCATGCATTTTGACTACAAGTAAAATAAAACAATTATACTTAATTTGCTATTATCTAGAATAATATATGATTTTGGAAATGATGGAAATTAAACTAGGAGAGTTTTTGTTTGCTTCTGAAGGTTGATTCACTTGGTTGATACACTTGAATTTATCTCATCTAATTACTTGACTTGTAGTCATTATTTCATAGGTAGGAATTATCTGTCAAAAGCATTTTCCAACTTCAATGTGTAAAATTCTGTAGTCCATATAACTGTGATATAACAAGATCAATAATTTTTAAAATCCTTAAATGTATAATAAATTTATAGTATATGTAAAGCTGTTAGCTTTAGCCTCTAACTCTTGGAAATTATTTTTAAGTGAAAGTAAATATTTGGGATCGTATGTCTAATAGAGAACTTGTCTAGCATGTGCAAAGCCCTGGACTCAATTCTTTAAAGAAAACATAAAGTTCTTTTTAACCTATGAATTACTTTTACTCCCTGGGTCTGTGGTCTTCAATCTAACCTGTAACTATAAGCATGGGTGATTACTAGTCTGCATGTGCTGATTCATTGATATTGCAAAAATGATCTTTCTAGTTTAAATTCACTTCTATCTATAAGGCCTGAATAATGAAATCTCTCTTTTCTTTACTTTCCACGCTTTCTGCATGGTGTACAGGGCCAATACTGTGCATGGCACCCGCTTCAACTTTTGGTAGGTTTTGTACAAAAATTCTCAACTTTCTCTAACCTAAAAGCGTTTTTCTACTGTGGCTATAAACACATAAGTGACAAGGTGATGTGAGTGGACATTTTCTGAGTATTTAGGGTTTAATATGGTATTCTTTGGAATCAAAGTAGACTTATTTCTCAAGTTCTAGTAGGTTGCCACTGTAGCCAAATTTTAGTCCTGCCTTTTCCATTCCTATCCTAAAAACAGCAACTGAAATATTAAAATGTTTCTTTCCACAGTGAAACTTGATAATTTTCTTAGTCTGGTATCTATTATTTTAAAAATACATTTCAAATATATAATTTATTAACTGCAATGAAACAATCACCTCCCAAAGTTACTCTTATAGTGTAAGCATTTATTACAAAGATGTTGAGAAAGGATGACTTAAGCAAAGCTAGACCATCCTGCCGTGTTCTTTGATGGATTCATATATATATATTGGTTGTGAGTTTATTCTTTAATGGCTGAGCCATCTCTACAGCCCATTTTTGGATTCTGTAGTATCCAAGGATGGAGCATCATCTGCCATGTGATTTTTAAACTACCAGTCATATCCTCTCAGACTTTTGGCTAAGATCAAGTGGAATAAACAATTACACACAGTTTTTTAGTTAGCCACCACCACAATATGGTAGCCTTCCCTAAGAGAGTTTGTATTTCATTAATAGAAAAGAAAATGAGAAAACCACTGGGAGGTCACAGTTCCTATAGTCTTCATGGGAGCCAGAAACAGATCATGAGAAATTACTTTTGTTTAGAGTAGGGGAAAAGGAACACATATTGGCTTCTCCTACCAACTCAGTTCCTCTCATCTTAGAGAATTTGCAGCAGCTTGACCTCTATCCCAATGCTAGGTTAAAGTGATTACGGAGCTATTGAGATAAAAAAGAAAGGTCAAAATGATGACCACATAGAAACAGCACAAATACAGCAAGATCTGAACCCTGGCAAAAGGATGAGGCCTGTTATTGAAGGATTAGCTGTCACCATAGGAATTAGCATTGCGTTGATACTAACAGGAACATTCTGTAAATGTAAGTGGAAGAACAGACGTCTGCAACTTTGAGAAATGTGTCTCTGCTTTCACAATTTGTGACCTGTTTCTTGGGGCTGCTTCCTTGTCCTTTCCCTTTCAGAACTCTGCTTATAAATGCAATTGCATGCTTTGGCACTGCTGCTTCCTGCACAGTTGCTGTACTTCCAATGGGAGAAACATGAGTGGTTTTAGAATTAGCTCGTGAGACAATGAAGGATGACTGTAGGAAATGTGTAGCCAGAGATGGATAAAAGGGACAGCTATGGAGTTTCTGTTAATCACTATTTGGGGGACAGTCTTACTTACTTTGGCATTGATTGCATTTTCCTCTTGGCCATTCACTTTGCCCATAGACTTTCAGGAAATCTGAATTTGACTGAGGTAGACTTGATAAATTATTATATATGTATGCTTCCCATTCACACATTAATTCCCTGGTTGGATTTCCAAAATAAGCTGTAAATTAGAAAAGCATCCAAAAGCTTTGAGAATGAAATAGAAAGTAGCAAAGCAAAGCAAAACATCCTGAAAAGGATTTTGCAGCTGCTAGCCATTGTAGCTCTAATATTTCTTTTGAAGACAAGATTTACTATGAACCACTTGTGTATTTGACAATAGCGAAAATTTCCAAGGAACTTACCAAGCTGAATACATAGTCCACTGTATTCTTCATACCCTCTCTTCTGTCATATACTCGACAGAACCACTGTTCTTTTTTATATGCTGAGCAGGTAAGTACACGTAAAACTGCCATTTATACCAGAAAAATCTAGTAACAGCACTTGTCAGTGAATTCAAACACCAGTTGACAATACCCTAATTAATTTTGACTGCTCAACTCAGTGACTTGTCTGCTTAGCTAGCTTTACTAGGTAGTTCTGGTAACAGCAGAATTTTTTCATATGCATTCATTACAACCCGTCCTGAAAATTCATCCTTTTGAATACACTACAATGTTACGTTGCTCAAAATGTTAAGAATGGCTGTTATCCTTAATGGTAATTATAATTGGCTTTCCCCTTTCTCTCTTTAAATTTTCCTCCATTCCATGCTGTGCTGCTTTGCACTGACTTTGATTGCATGCATCCATCATGATGATGTTACGTGGCTTGTTGCTGGGATATCTACTATGCCCCATTCCATCGTATCTGTCATGGTTGTGTAAATGCTTCACCCTTCCATGTGTTGCTTCCATGATTTCCTACTGAAAGTGCCCATGATGCACGGTGCTACACCTTCCACTGTGTCTGCAGCAGCAACACCTGCCACCAGCGTTCCCTTCGTTCCAACAACTACAGGCAATCAGGTTTGGCCATTTATTTCATCTGTTCAGACTTAGATAACCACAATGTGTTGAAAAAGCACAGTATATACCTTTTGGATTGGTGAAAGTTATTGGTCCATGTGCTTATGTGTTTCTTAACCAGTTGTTAAATTTGGAACTTTTGTTTTTTATGTATAATTAGGGTACTGTATATGATTTTCAATTTTCTCAGGATTACTTGGCAATATTTTACCCATTGTTAATTGGTAAGCAGATATTATTCATGTTTTTCTATATCAATTTATTGCTACCACACCAATCCTCAAGTGTATATGCTGTACTGAATATGTCTTAAAAGCTTTCTCATCTTGGTGAAGAGGAAAAGTTATTTTACAGCCCCCCCCCCACTTGTTTTTGGTTATTGTGTTTGAACTTAGATTTAGTAAACACATCTCCTTTACTTGCAATTCCACTGGAAAGAAAGCATGCGATCACATTTCTTTCCAAGGAATGCGCATCTTTATTATCACCCAGTGATTACATCAGAAATTCCTTCTCTTGTAGACATTAGATGTGCTTGTGTTGTTTCCACTTTCGTTTGGTTTAGATTTTTCAGGCAGAGTCACGGGCAAGTGGCCAATTTTTAGGAAATCTTGAAGTTGTGAGGCAATTAGTACAGTAGCTCCTGAGTACTGTGATACCCGTGCTGCCTTATCAAAGTGCTCACTTGCCCCAAAGCTGCTACTTAAATTTCCAGCATGATAGTCAAGAAGCACACAACATTCATTTGATGGATAAACCACACTCCAACCTCTGCTCTGCAAAATTGACACAATGGAAATCGTAAATATGCTTAAAGGTTTCAGTGAAATTGATCATCATTTTGATGTAACAAACTCAAGCAGTGAGAAAAATAAACAGGATTCTCCTAAGAAATCATTTTAATCTAAAATCTTTTTTACTACTATAGATGCCCCACTTTTCAATAGATGAACTGAATAGGAGCATGTTTGTTTCTCAGATGTAGAAGTTACCAGTAGAACAGTAAGTTTCTTTAAGTATTAATAGATATTTGTAGGTTGTATCTTTTATTTACACAGTTGTATTTGCTAAGGTTTGAGTAAACATTTTCATGTAAAGACATTGCTTATAACTTGAACTTGCCTGAATTCAAAAATTTTGAAACTGAAATGCCAGAAAGATGATTTTTGTGATATAGAGATGACAGCTGTTACTATATTTTTCTAATGAGCTCATAGACTCAGTAATGTTTTTCTAGTTTCAAAGGGGCAAGATTTTTTTAAGCCAAAAGCACAAATCACATTTGAATTTTAATTCTTGAAACTTTTTTACTTGTTTGTTTTGTTTTCAAGACCAAATTTCTCTGTAGCCCTGGCTGTCCTGGAACTCACTTTGCAGACCAGACTGGCCTCGAACTCAAAGGTCTGCCTGCCTCTGTCTCTGAGTATTGGGATCAAGGACATGCAGCACCACACTGGGCTGAATCTTTAAGATTTTAAGATTTTTAAGCTTCATTTTTTTGTTTAAGTAACAAAGTAAATTTGTCGGAATTTGGCTGATATGTTAAAGACAGTGAGTGTTATGTTTTTGAGTCAGTACAAAAAGCTGTGCTCTTTCTGTAGGTTACAGTATGTTGCTTCCCATGTAAGATAAGTAGAATTGCATTAGCTGTTTGGAAGTTTGAATGACATACAAAATAATTTAGCAGTCCAGTCATTATTTTCATTCTTTGTCCACCCTTAACATTTGACCTCTCCTTTGCCCGGTCCAGGGACCATTAGCAGCACACACTGAGTTCAAGCATTCATTCACATGGAACATGTCTGGTGAAGATACTTAAAAATCCTAGGTCCCTGAACTCTAGAGACCTAACAAATGAACCTGCTCCAATACAGTTGTAGGTGTGGAGAGCTTGGAGGACTCTCACATTGGATTTGTCACATGGTTGGAGGAGGTAGCTGATATGCCTGCTGCTTCCCTAACTCACCATCTCCCATTATTAAGTCCCTAACACTGTTTCAGACAAAAGCCCGTAGCTATTATACACTAGATAAGCAGGTCCCCTCAGTCATAAGAAATGTTCTGAAAAGACATGGGAGATCTGAAGGAGCTGGAAGTTAGAATTGTTTTCACGGGTGTTCTTTGGGATAGTAGCAAATTGAGAAATCTCTAGACATGACAGTGGAGGTTTGTCCAATACTTGCTCATTTCTCATAGGTGAAGAAAATCCAAACAAAATGGATTTACATAAAATATGTTTGAAGAATTGTTTTTCTTCTACTTGATTCCTTTAAAAAAATAAGACATTTGGTAGAATATAATAATTTTCACATGTAACCAGTGTAAAAATTTTCTCCAAATATCAAAAATGTCATTTTGTATAATAGTATATGACTTACTGGAGATATTTCTGCAACAGTGTAAGATATTCAGCTAAAAGTGTAAATCTTTGTTTACTATTGAACCTTTTCAAAGTGTTTGGTATTAAGTACATCTCAGGGGTACCTGTCTGATGACTAAGATAAACTGATGGCTGGTTCATGAGCAAAATGGTTTCCATTACTAGGTAGTGCCTTAAATACGGCCCATCATGGGAATCTTCCATAGACTGTCCTAGGTATATGTCTGCTTAGTGATTGTTTGTCTTAGCCCTACTGTCACAGACATAGGGTCTGAAATTCAGAGTGGAGACTATCTTGGCTTAGTTCACTTATAGAAGGAATAAGAACTAGTCTCCTAACACCTTGTTCAATAACCCTTCACTATTTCTTACTGATTCTCTTGTTTTGTTTTCTATTTCAGTTGAAATTCTGAGCAGCAGAGTTACGGAGTATCAGAATGTCTCAGCAAGAAACTCCATATGGCCTTTCTATATGTATTCTCGTATGTCCTCTTCTACCAACACGACAATAAGCATGGTGCAGTCCATATATTAAGCACATACACCAGCTGAAAATTGAAAATTGAAAATAAAGCATTCAAAAATCTTTGGAGATATTAAAGTGAATAGAAAATTGACCACTGTGTGTTACCTAGTATGGATTATTAATTGTATATGAGTTAGCATATAGAATACGACCATATAGCTTTGACATTTATTTGAATTATCAGCTCCGTATTACAAGAATTACCCATCTGATATGATTATCATATTGAAGTTAACCATAAAGTTTTCTAGTTTTTTTTTTCCAAAAATGATTGATGTTAAGTGAACTTGCAGAGTACTGTAGTAAGCTTACTATACATTCTTGGTGGATAAATTCTGTTTCTGAAGTGTTACCTTACTGTGTTGTTTACAGGATAATCTATTGGATTGATGTAGAATGTAACTAATATATCCAGTACTATTTTCCCCATTGATATATTGTATTAAATTGGGTTCTGTTTGGCTTTTCCATGCTAGTGTTTTATTGTTTATACGTGGTATTTGATTTCAATTAAATGTCATTAGTGGGGAACAGTGTGATTGAAAAACATGACAGGTTCATGTTAATATGCACTCTTCAAAACATTTCTATAAGTTTCTTGAGGCATACATTTAACAGGCCTCACTTCTGAGTATACACAAAACCTGTTTATAGAATTTTACATGTAGACCTGACCTTGCAGAGTCAATAATATACTCAATTTTTAAAAGAGAAAAATAATTACCTACATATGATAGGAAAGTTCAGATGTTAACCTCAAACCCTCCTCTTAAATAATTTGAAAATCAAGTATTCCCATTCTAATAAATACCTGAGCATGTATAAAAATTATGTAGAGTAGCTGTTACATTTATTGTGTCACAGGGATCCTTTCTCTCAGCTTGAGTGTCTAAAATTGAGCCATTTTCATCTTCAGTTGAGAAACTGGTACTTACTCGTTTAAAGGTATGGTAATCATAGGTTGTAAGTCAAGAAGAGAGATGTGGGCGTGGAGACAGTTTTTATGTACTGGCAGAAAGTGTGTAAAACCTTTGCAGTGTAGCCTTTTGCACAAGTGTCATTTTCCAAATGCAAATGGCTCATGTTCTTTAGACGACTCTTTGAATAATAAGGTGCAGTCTAGCAGAAGTCAATCCAGGTGAAAGAGAATTGTTTCCAAATGAGGCCTTACCTCCCCCAATAGACAATCTTCTCTATTGATCCCAGAAAGAGCTGAGCACAGGTTTGGAGAACTGGCAGGGATGGGGTCAGGGAGACATTTAAAATGACTGACTGATTATGCAGAACTAGAGAAGGTTTCCCCAATTGTCTTTCACTTCAGTTCCACTGAGTTTCCAGTTTCCTACAAGCTGCAGTGAAGTAGCAAGCTTTGACAAGGGTTTCCCTGTCCAAATTTTAACATCAGTTTGGGGGCTTTTGTTGTTTTATGTCTCAAAACAAAACCTATTTTTGGCTCATTTGAACTTATTTTCCTTTATGTGCACTTCAAAATTATAGTCAGTTTTATCATCATTTGTCTAGTATAGAATAGCAATATCCCATGGATGTGTGGTATGAATTCTTACTAATACTTACAAAATAATCTCACAAATATCAAATAGTAATCCATCAATTTCTGTGACATACAGTGTACCTTTTCTACTTTACATAGCTATTATTAATATTACTATTATTATAAAAGGGAAGAAATATATTCCAACAGCTTAAGTATATTTAATATTTTCTACTCAATATGTATTCTCCCATTGGAAGGTATAAAATCATCAAATTTTTGTACATATAAAGGTTGTTTTTCTTCATAAAAATCACAAGCAAAGAGAAAACATTTGGGATACCTTAAGGTAATTGGATTGATTTTAAAAACAGTGGAGTTGGCAAAGAGTTTATTGCCTTTTCCATGGTTGATAAAACAGAGAGACAGGCCCTGTGACTTGCCTAAGGCTGCCTAACCATCGTGGGAACCAATTGTTCCTCCTTTTTACATCTTTCATTGGAACATTTGCGACTCCAACTCAGAGCAGATCAGATCGGCTCAGAATAAAAAAAGAAATTCCCTCTGGTGATTGGTATCCTATTGATCTTAATTATCCAGGTGAATCCTGTTCACCAGTTATTTCTAAATCGTCTTGTTTGTATATTTGGGCCTCTGCCCTTTGCTAATTATTGCCTCAACTTAGAGACTGAGAGTTGTGTGTCCTTTTACCTGTGTGGGCTTTTTGAACCACTTAATTTCTGTTTTCTAAAATCATCATTCCAGAAAGAATGTACCTGAGCTAGACTAGATGTAGTTCTTAGTAGCTATGAGAATGTTTTTTTGCAAAATGTACTTTTTGTAGTTTGACATTTTGATGCAACATACTATCTCATTGAACTTCTTAAACTTTGGACAAAGAGAGACATAGATGAAGACTTAGAGATGCGCTGTTCTCATATTGCTCTAAGCACTGGAAAATCCTAGCGTTGACTTAGTTCTAGGAAGAGATTCAGTGATGAACATTCAGGGTAGTTGTCTTTTTGGTGCAACGCATCTCGATGACATTTTGAAAGTTGCTGTGTATGTGAAGTTTAAGAAAGCAAGCTCAAAGCTCGAACATTTTCATCAAATTTAACCGAGTTTTGAGAGAAAGGAAACTTTTAAGTTGGCACTCTTTAGTTGTGCAATGACTAATGTTCTTATTGAAGAAAACAAGTCATTTGACTATAAATTGAATTAACAAGACAAGTCACAACAAATCAGTGACTCTAAATAAAAATTTACTCAATCATTTGTAAATAAACTAAATTCTAATCAGTTGTGATTCCTACTTAGCATTTTGTAGTCTTTGTGTTTTGCAATGGCCTCTATTTTTATTTCTCCAGAATCGCAGTTTTGTCCATATTCTCAGCCTTGTGCCAAAATTTGCAAGCCTGCTGAAACCTGGATAAAACATGTCAAATATACAATAAGCAATCTAAACGTGTCACTGAAGAAGGGCTTAGTAGTTTCAGTTTTTACAAAAAGCACTGTGAGACCCTAATATTTTAAATAGGGACTGAAATTAAATAGATTCATGAAATTGCTATTGAAATACAGTGTTTACTTTTGAAATTGGAGCATGAATCCACACCCAGCCGTTGCTTTTGATGTCACCTTTCTAGATTGAACTTTAATTTGCATCTGATCATGAAAGCAATCTTCCCCGTTCCATCCATCTTGCACATCCATTTCTGGGCATGCTAAAGCATTTCATCTTGCCATAAGTGTTGTCCACTGATGGGAGCCCTCAGCTCTGTTCATCTCCAGGAAAAAAAAAAAAACCCGTGCCTGCTCTCAGCCATCAGCAGGAACCGAAGGAAATTAGTGCTTTTTAACTTGAATTAGCTTTGGGTGGCATGACCAGTCAGACGGTGATGTGTGAAGAAGGAACGGCATCTACACTACCTTGTAGGAAATGATTGAGGCGGCTGAGGCAGCTCGTGCGCTCCTTGCCATGTCCATTGGTTCTTTTCCTTGTCTTTGAAGACTGTTGGTGAGGGTGCCCTTAGGTGAATTTGCAGCCCAAGTTTGCTGAGATCTGTCAATCGGTGGGATGGACTGTGGGATGCAGAATGATTAGTAGCTGTAGTTCTCTTTCTCCTTTAAAAAAAAAAAAGCTCTTCTATATTTCACTTACATTGAAATGGAAATAAGTAAAATGGGGGGGCCTCCAATTCCCAATTTTGATTTGTAGATTTAATAAGATAGTGGCCTAATTTTCCCAGTGCTTGTCAGAGATAGCAGAATAAAATAGATAAAAGATTTGAACATTTGTTTTGCAAGTTTAGCAGATAGTCAAGTCAAACTGTAAAGAGAGGCTCCCGAGTACCCAGTCACTAATTGGTGCCATGTTTTCATTCTTTAGTGTTAGTTTGTAATGTTTTTATTGTACTACATTTTTATATCTCAGTAACTAATGAATTTAATTTTGAAGAAAAGTTTGAGAAAGTTTAAGTTTTTACTACATGTATTAGGCTATCCCACCATTTCTTAGGCTCTAAACTGACACGGTACCATAACACAGTATAGATTACAGCCCATAACTACACTCTACAATTCACAGTTTAAGAACAAGTTTAGCTTGGTACACAAATAATAGTTGTCAGCTAAATATATTTAGTTGTTGCATTGGCAACAAAACTACAACATGGCTACCTTTAGACATGCGTGCATGTAAAACTTGTATTGGTAAGCTATATGTGGTTCATGACAGTGTGAATATAGAGGAGATACAGCTCAAAACTGTTGATGTGTTTGAAGCCCTGAGTCCCGTGTGAAAGCTGGACGTGTGTCCTCTTATCGGACTCAACAAAGTTTATAACACACGGGTTCTAGAGTCAGGCTTTATAGTTTAGAGAATTGGTTGTGTTGATGGGGTAATACAGTATTTTCACACCAGAACAAGCATGGCATATATATTAACCTGACATTTCTTCATAACTTCGTTCCAAATTACCTATTCATGTAGTATCTGTAGCTATCAAAAGAATCCTATTTTCTGGAATAAGATACAAGAATATGTGAGGATTAAAGCATAATTCAGCATTTTGAAATTAACTAGTATTTGTGAAAGCACATGTAAAGATACTACAGAACGGTCCCCGAACAGTGTTAAGAAGCATATGCTGCCGTTACCTGACTGTCTCAGTTGGGGTGCGAATGTGTGAGACACACCTTTTTTGCACTTCTGTACATAGTCCGTGAAAGCAAACCTTGGACCTTTTTAGAATGTAAGAAGTCTGTGGTAATAGCAGAAAGTTGGTGAGAGTGCTTTCTGAGGCTTTGAGAAGGAAGATTTTTTTTTTTTTTTTTTTTTTTTTTTTGCTCTAAGAATTAGCAAAACCACAGTGCCGAGTGCTGTTGTGGACGCTTGCTAGTTTGCCACAGTTCACCGGAAGCTCAGCCTGCTGATATATGCCAGATTCCCATTAACAGCACTGAGCGAAAGTAAAAAACACTCCTTTTAGGAAGGCTACTAGCAAAGATTATTCTCTTTGCGGACTAATTCCCACTGTAAAAATACACACCCACACACACACACATCACACTACACACTCATGCATGCACCACATAGTGGGTAAGGTTCCCAGCAGAGGCTTTCTTTTTTTTTCAATTCTAGAAAGCAGGAAAAAATACTCTGTCCATTACAAGATAGTTCATCTCAAATGCAATTAAAACAGACTTCATCCTTCATAGGTAATACATACATCAATTAGTATGGATTTAAGTGATAAATTGATAATGTTTTAACTAAGCAAAAGAGACCAACCCAAAGCTTGCATAACATGGAAGTTGGAAGACAGTGTCAATCTTACCCACTCTGTACAGTTTTCATGCCACACTTACAGAAAGCCAAGGACCTTGATTGTTGCCCCCACAAGGCACCGAGGCAAAGGGGGGAGTTTGAAAGGTTAAGGGATGGATCACCACTGGCACTTAGATTCCTTCCCATCTTGAGGCAGGTATCATTCA